TTTCCGAGTCGAACCGGGCGAGTCGGTTCGACTCGGCGTTTTTTAAAACGCTGCTTGTGCTATTGGCTTTGTTACTTTAAGAATTTAGGCACTTCTATTAGCCTTTCTTATCAAATTCTCGTTGTAAAAAATGCTTTAATGTTACATAAAATCATTCCGCTTTTTTTAATGAACAAGTTTTCTACGAGTCAACAGGTGCAAGAGTCTGCTGACACTCTTCAACGTCCATCTCAAACATGGATGTTGTGTAAAGTGCACCGGAGCAAATGATATATGGACGGTGCTGAAAACATCTTAAAAAAAAGCACATTTTAAAGTTTAATTTGTTTTAATTTTTTCATAGTCATGATCAGCTTGGTCTAGATCATGAATCTCTTAAATTTCGGATAAAAAATCCATCTTCAAAGTAGATTTTAGAAGGGGCCGCATATGTACATATGAGTTGGCTGACTCATAGAAACCCTATTCTTTTATTCAAATGATGCATAGGCATATCGTGAAAAACATGTCATTTCAAAAAAGGCAAGTTTGGGTTTAGTATTTTTTAGGAGACACTGGCACAAGTATAAGTGGTTTTGTAATATATATAGATGGTAAAACACGAGAAATTATTCAAAATACACTTATCAACTATTTAATAGTGAACAAATTTATATAAAGCATCAACTTGATATTTTAGAAGTAAGATGTACTTCAAAACCTACAAAAGGATTGTTTCAATGGTTGGAAACCTTTAAATTGTTCATCTCTACTTTGAGATATATGGATATAAAAAAAATAAAGATTTTAAATCCATACATTTTATAACATATTTTTTAGATTGTTCATTTACAAGATTTTCAAGTGCTAGATTTGTTTAATTTACACTATTTTTTGAACTTGAAATTTTATAAATTACGGGTCAAAATAGATTTCCAAATCATTTTAAAGTTTCCAGCATCTTCTGGTCGAGTGAGAAGGTGAGTTGTACTTTAAGTTTTCAAGGTGTGTGCTTCATATAAACTTCGCCCTTCAATAATTTGCCAATTTTCAACTATTCCAACTTGAGATGTGTATATTTTGATGAGATATTTGAAATTAAACAAAAAATAAATTGTTAAATAGTTATAGCTAAAAAAATAAAAAATAAAAATAAAAAATTAAATAGTTTGTTTCTTTAATACATTTTGATAATTTTCTACAAACACAATTACAAGCAAACGCGCTCACCGAAATTGAAGAACAAAAAGACATATCTACCCTCACGATTCGATCGAAAGACCCTACTTTCCTAGGCTATTTTAGTCATCACAGAAAAATTGGCACTCTCAACTAATTTCCCGGAACATTTATAAGGAACTGCAAACTCGCGATTAGGGCGCGGAAGCAAGGTTCATGTTTTAGACAGAGGATAGGAGAGAGGAGAGAGAAAGCTCTGCATCTGCGTTTTCTCTCTTCCCCATTGGATCTCACTCCATTGGACCTAGTGAGAGAGGTGGACTTTTTAGAGAGACAACCAGTAAGGTAGAGTTTTAGAGAGAGATTAAGGAGAGGGGAATAGGAGAGAGAAGCATTTTGATCTCTGTTTTCTCTTTCTATTGGAAACTAGTGAGAGAAGGGGGAGAATAAGGAGAGAGAGAAATAAAAGCGAGAAAGCTCTGCAACTCTGTCTTCTGTTTCTATTTCCATCGAAAATTAGTGAGAGAAAGAGATGGTTGCAGGCTGTTTCTCGTCTGATAGTATAGTGGTGAAAGCCCCCACTGATAAGCGTCTTTACAGGATACTCTATCTCCCTAATGGCCTCTGCGCCCTTCTGGTCCATGACCCTGAGATTTTGTCAGAAGACCAGAGTTCTGAGCTCTCTTTAACTGAAAAATCACAAAAAAGTGATGAAGCACTTGAAAGTTTCAGTGAAGAAGAAGAAGATGAAGGAGAAGGAGAAGGAGAAGAAGAAGGAGAAGAAGAGGAGGAGGATGAAGAAGAAGAAGAGGAGGATGAAGAAGAAGAAGAAGAAGATGATGATGATGATGACGAAGAGGATAATGAAGAGGAAGGAGAAGAAGATGGAGAAGAAGTATTCAAGAAAAAAGGGAAAAAGGGTTATAGTCCTGGTGTTTCGCCGACAAAAAAGGTGGTTGCTTTTTGTTCATTGGGCAATTTATGCCCCCAATTGATGCACTTTTCTTTTAGTGTTTATCATTAGCTATATTTTATTAGGGTGGCTGCTCTTTCTTTCTTTTCCTATTTCTGGACTTATTAGGTTAGTTTACCTCCCTAAAATTGATTGAATGTAAATGTGTTCATATCCTTCTTGATTTGATCGTTTTTTATATTTGGGTCTTATTTATTTATTATTTTACTTCTTTGGGTCTTAAGATTGCGAGGACTTGGCATCAATGGACCTCTTTTGATGCTCTTTCCCCTGCCTAATTGTGCCCGTTAATGACCAATATTCATATTGAATAAACTTTTTTTATTGTTTTCAATTTTGTCATCCACGTTCTGCAGCCTTCCTTTTTTTGCTTTTCTCTATGCATTTATCAGTATTGAACAATTTTTGCTATATTTTTACTTTTGAGCTTTGCTTAAATTAAGCGTTTTAATTCACTGTATGATGTTAGCTCAGGACGACTTATTATTATGCATTATCTAATTTGGTTGAATCGCAAATTCTGCTAATTTAACATTGAATAGCCATCGGATTTCATTGAAATGGCAGCTCATTCTAGGCTTCATCTCTTCTTAAAAGTTTTCTCAAGTTCCATGCATTTGAAGGATTAGCAATTGTTGAGCTTTTGGTAAACTTGGTGACTTAGGCTGGCCAACTTGGATAATAAAGAATCCCTTCTCTACCATGTTCACTCATGACTAAATGAACACAAATTTTGGTCTGCTCTGCAATTCATGGTTAGGGCTGTTTCTCTACACCGCTTATTAGGAGAACTCTCTAAAATGTTAAACCACATATGAAATGGGAAGAAAACTAGAAATGTCTATGTTCATGCTAATTTACTCCTAAACAGAAATATGGTACTGTCCACACTAGGCCTCTGTCTTTTAACTTCTCATCAGACGAGCAGTTGAGAGTGCTTCCCTTCCTTCTCTTCTCACACGCATGTAGCAGCGAATAAAATATCGTTTCAAGTTGTTTGTCCGAGTCAACTCGATTCATTCAATGAGTGGGTATATAAATAAAATATCAAGAAGTGTCCAAGTGTTTCCTTATGTTTCTTAAATTGACCAGGACTTGGTCTCTTCATTTTGGCAGCATTGCTAAATGACTTAGGTGGTGAGTAGGGATCAAGTACAACTACAAATACTTCTTCTTTTTTTGTTTGAAAGGGCGACATTATTAGATATGGTAATAGTTACAAAAGTTCTCATGAGATGTGAGGTATGGCACTCCACAAGTTGGGTGCTTTACGTACTAAAAACACTCTATTTTTTAAAATTCTTCACACAAAAATTTGAGATATTCTGTGTTAACTGTTTAACTTGTTGAGTTTTGACCTAGTTTGACCTTGGCTGAGCCAGCCACTGAGTTTAAGTATCTGAACATGGCTTTCTTGTTCCAATATACTGTTAATTTTCTAATAGATACTGTGTTCTTCTTTGTTACATGGTGCAAGTTCTACATTGACCTATTTCTTTAGAAATAATAGTGTTCTCTTGGATACATCAAGAAATGATATGGGGTGTTGCATTTGCAATCACATATATGCAAAAAGGGCTTTTAAGGTGCTGTGATTTTGTTCTATGAGCCATAGATTTATTATATCTGCAAAGAGAAGAACTGTCTTTTATCTAACAATAAGCAAAAAAAAATGTTATGCTCCATTGAACCCTAACTGCTGTGTTTTTTGCAGGCAGCAGCAGCTATGTGCGTTGGTATGGGAAGCTTTTCAGACCCTCTTGATGCACAGGGTCTTGCCCATTTTCTAGGTTAGATTGTCCTTTCAATAGAACTCCCATTCTTGAATGCTTATGACACTTAGTAGCACTGGCTTGCAGCAGCTTACTCATTGCTACTTCAGATGCATTTATTTGCTGTAGTTTATTTTTTTTTCTATTGTAGTTGAAGGACATATTTTTAAGGGTGTGGTCTGTATAGAGCCTAGGCTCTAAACAATCAAATTAGAGCCTACCTTCAAACAGTGTTGAGATATGTGGTTTCAATACTGGAAATCTTTGTTATAGCCTTAAATTATATATTATATTTATTTATAAAGTTTAAAGCTTAAAACATAGTGTAGATTGGCAGATCTATGAACAGTTGAAAATATTTAAAATTGACGGTCCAAAAATGCGTTACAAAATATACTATTTCTAAAACTTCAAATTTATTTTTTTCTCATATCCATGCATCTTGATGTGGAGATGATCAATTTGAAGATATTTGAGCATCAAAACAACCTCTTCCAGTGAAAGTTTTGAGGTAGGCTCAAATTTGATTGTTTAGAGCCTTGGCTCTATATAAACTTTTCCCTATTTTTAATTTTGGCCTATGATTCTTTTACGGGGAAACTTCCTTGAAGTCCTTTACTATTGGAAAATTATATATGTCCCTATTCTTCCTGCTGCCTATCTAAATGGACAGTTGGGAGGGTTTCCTAACAACTTTACAAATTTTGTAGAGGGGCCATGCTGGCTCTCAGCTGGTAGTTTGTTTTCTCTCTCTCTCTTTGAACAATGGGTGGAATATCAAAGGGGTTTCTCTCTCTCTCTGCGCAAGGTATGGTTTGACTGGCTGGATTTTTGGTCAGAGAAGTCACCGGAAAAGCCTAGGGGATAGGGCTAAGGTTTCAGGGGCTGGAGTTTTGGATGGAACAAACACAGTAAAAGTTGAGGATGAGGTTTGTCCGGCCAATACTGGAGGGTAAGAGAAGAGGAGGACATTAAGAAGGGTTTCTTGAGACAGGATTGATTGAAGAAGACCAGGTAAAATGCAGAGAAGAAGGAAAAGAGAGACAAAACCTGCAGTTGTTCTGACCCATCTCCAACATAGCTGCTGAATGTCCTGCAGGATAAATGTCGGATTTCCAGCTGAAAAACCAGAGGTCCTTGCTTGACTAACAATCATACAAAAGAACAGAAAAATCACTTTTTTTTGCAGATGGTTTTCTAAGCATTTTTGGTAGACTTTTCATTGTTTATCTTTCTAGGAATTCTCTCTCTGTTTTTTCTTAGAGATGGTTTTTGCATATTTTTTAGGCAATCGAGTGGACTTTTGGGGACGAGATAGAAAAAGCTGTGCATTCTAGTTGATGAGTTTAAAGAGAGAAAATACCATGAAATAGGTTTCTGGGTATTTCAAGATGAATTTCCATTGATACGGAATGAAGTGGGTTCTTTGAGTGATTTACTTTTTGAGATATCAGCATTTTCCCTACAATTTTTTCTGGTGGAAATGGGATGAAGTGGGTTTTTGGCGAGCTTCTGGGTGATTTTCCAGTGGAAATGGAGGCAATTAGAAAAGTTCGGTGAGTTTTGGGGTATTTTCCAGTGGAAATGGGGGTAGGGAGAAGCTCTGGGAGTTTCTCCTGCAGAAATGGGGTAGAAAGAGAAGATTGGGGTGATATTTCGGCAGAAATTAGGGTAGAGAGAAAAATATGCCCGGGTAGGGGTTACGGCTCAGCCAGTAGCGGGTTTTCTTTTGTTCTTTTGTTACAATTTCATGGGATTGCTTCTGGCCATCCATTTAGATCGGTCGGGGTAGTTACATTTACAATTTTCCTCTAGGAGGGGACATATAGAAAATTCCCCTTCTTCTATTCGGTTGACAGATTCAGTAGCCAAACATAACACCTAGACAATGAGCATTCGTGGTTTGTATCATTGCTAGAGAACATAATTGGTCTGGAGAATGGATTCTTTGCAGTTTGTAAATGGTTAAATACTGTCCTTTGTGCACTCCATCACCTCTTTTTTTTCTCCCAAAAGTAATTATTTAATGAATGAAAATAAGTTCCTGAGGGCTCAGGATCCAGGTTGTTGACAACTACCAATGAGAAGAAAGAAAAAAATAAAAACCTAAGATGTGGTCTCTTGACTTTGAGTTTGTAACACGTGATATTTTACCAAGCCTAGCTATTGGCATACTGTATTGTAAAACCTTACATCATAGGCTATTTAAACTTACAATATCAAATTGCTGAAGCTTATGTTCTTTTGGATCTCAGAATAATGAAGTTTTCAAGGATTTTGTCTCTCTTATTGCCATATTAATCCAATTTCATTTTATTACTTGTCGATTGTTCAGAACATATGCTTTTCATGGGGAGCGCTGCATTTCCAGATGAGAATGAGGTGTGTTATAACTACCTTTTGTTGTCTGGAATTTGAGAATCTGAGTTGGCCAACTATATGCAAACTGGGCAGGGTTTTTTGCCGTCTATCTTGATGCAACCTTTTTACTTGATTTTGCATATGTTTTTGCTAATTGATCTTGCGTATTTTTGGAGAGTGTCTTTTCTCAGAAACATGTCACGATAGAGTTTTAAAGACAAATTTCTTGGCATTAAACTAGTCAATGAATATGTCATTACTTAAAAGATCCGTTTGTTTAGAACTTTGGATTCTTACTTCTTGGCGGAACTGATAAATCCATTAGTCAATCATTTGAGAAAGATGTTATCGTTGCTTGCAATACAATGTGTTTTTTTTCCCATTCTGGGCACAAACAAAACTAATGGAGAAGATGACTAGAACATGCTCTCATTGAAACACAGTCTCAAAGTCACTCTCTTTACAATGATTTTGAAATTTTTTTTGGTATACTTTTATGAGTGAGGCTGTGTAATGTGTGCATGAATTATGCCTTCCATATGAGCTTGACTATTATTTCTTGTAGTACGATAGTTACTTGGCGAAGCATGGAGGTTCCTCGAATGCTTACACTGAAACTGAGCATACTTGTTACCATTTTGAAGTTAATCGGGAATTTCTCAGGGATGCCTTGAAAAGGTAAATTACCAATATAACCTTGTAGGTTAGTGGAGATCTTTTTGCATTAGATCCTCTTGTTATGTTAGTTTTATAAGATGGATTATTCCTTTTATATGTTATTCATAGCCATTTGCTAGCTGCATTTACTTGTGCGTGTCCTTTGTTAAGTAACCTCATCTGCAATTCCTAGTACCCTTTTTTTTTTGTTTGGAACTGTCATTGCTTTGATATAAAACCGGTCTTGTATTCATACCATACGTGAATGGCGAACTTAATCCTTAGGAGGTGGTGCCTGATTATATCTTGGATAACTCTCTTTCCAGATTTTCTCAGTTCTTTATTTCACCACTAGTGAAGGCTGAAGCTATGGAACGTGAGGTTTTGGCAGTGGATTCAGGTACTTGTTGTAATTTATTAAAATGCCATGCCATGCTGAGACAAGCACAAGAATACGACGTATACATGCGTGTTATACATGGTTGTATCTGCATGTATGCAGGTTTTTTGATTGGCAGACGAATTTCCTTGAAAGAAAATGAAGCAATTACTGAAAGAAAGGATCCAATGTTGGTCGTTCCCTCAAAAAATTTGGTTGTTTAAAATCTAAATTTCCAAAATCTTGCATGTGCTAAGCTATCTGCCACCATGTTCACTACACTATTTATAGGGACTGATGAGTAAATTTTTCACATTTTTTTTCTTGTTAATTGTGAGCCTTGTTGTTGTCTTTGACAAAAGGCTACTCTACCAGTTGAACTGTTTCTTGATCTATGTTTTGATTTTGTTTCTGTTATATATTATAGTTTTCCCTTGTAACCTCTACCATGTTGTTTTAATTTCATTTCAGAATTCAAACTGAACCTACAGAGCGATGGTTCTCGCCTTCAACAACTACAATGCCACACGTCAACTCCAGGGAACCCCTTCAACAAATTCTTTTGCGGTAGGCTCATATTCTACTTGTTGTTTTCTAGCCTATTTCGATAAATTCCTTTACAGGATGAACTTTGTTAAAATAAATTTAATATCCTTCCACTTGTGTTAAAGGGAACAAGAAAAGCCTTATGGATGCAATGGATAAAGGCATTGACATGCGCGAGCAGATTTTGAAGTTGTATGAAGAGACCTACCTTGGTGGCCAAATGAAATTGGTAGTCATTGGTGGAGGTGAGGCTAAAATCTGTAGTTTCAAAAAAGATAATGTGCCATTAGAGGTGATAGTTGAGGTGAACCACTGTGGCAGGTTGAAGAACTGACATTACTTGGTTGTGAAAAGGCCTTTCTTTTCTTTAACTTAGTTTTATATGCTTTTTAGTTTTTAGAAAGAAAATTCAGTTTCTAAGACATCTCGATAACTTAATGGTCTTCTTATGCCTTGATGTGTTTCTCAATTGGTAGGACTTTATTTTCTTTTTCTTGATATTGGAGAAAGGGCAAAATGGTAGCAAGTGATGAATATATATCTTTTTATTCTTTTGGTTTTTGTTTTTAGAGAAAATAAAAGAATCCTCAGTGGGTCAGGTTCTATTGGTGTGGTTTAATTTATTATGGTGTTTTTTATCAGGAGAAATAGGTTCTCATTTCCTTTTTTATTTCTGTAGTTTGTGTAGTTTGTTTCAATTTTATGAGCTCCACATTCAGAAAAAAAAAAGGAAAAAAGGTAGATATGAGAGCTATGACCCTTAAACGCAAATTTTTATTTCGTTTTGTTGTTTTGCTTGACTTTAGAATCTCTGGAAACCCTGGAGAGTTGGGTGGTGGAGCTATTCAGTGATGTCAGGGAAGGTAATCGCTTGAGGGATAATTTTAAGAACGGGCCAATATGGGATGCTGGTAAATTATACTGGTTGGAAGCTGTCAAAGATATACATATTCTCAATTTAACTTGGCAATTGCCATGTCTTGATAAAGAGTATCTGAAGAAGCCACAGGACTACTTGGCTCATCTTATCGGGCATGGTATGCAATCCAAATCTTGAGGATCCTTTATTTTTTATGATCATTTTACTAGTTTGTGGAATGCGCAAGGATACTATGACACAATGGACTATGGAAAAACCGTATTCCATGGGTCACCACTGTCCATAATGAGAAAACCATAGTTAAATTTTTAACTTGATTTTTATATTTTTCTGAATTTGGCTTCCATGGTCAACAAATGTTGGCATTTCTGTTGAGAATAGACATTACTCACCATTTTGATTTTGAGAAATGTATATAACAATCCATCGACTATGGAATTCCACAGCCGATTGAGGTAGTGACTGGTCCCCATTCTTTTTGCTGTCCACCATTCGATACATAGCGATAAACCCATTGGGCAATGGATTTCGCAACTCATTGGCTTATATTATACTTTCCTTTGGTGTGTGTGCATGTGCGTGCGGACCCGCGCGCATGTGTTTGTGGGGTTGTTTTTGATAACATTCTTTCTTCGGGCCCTAAAAATTTTCCAACTGTTAGCATTTAATGATGAGTTATTGGACTTGTTGATTTGGTTCCCTTTTTATTGTTTGTTTGGAAGCTTGCTTGTTTCTTTTGCCTATTGTGCCTAAGTTCTCTCTTGACTACGTCATTGGGAATCCTAATTCATTGTATTATGAACTTGTCTAAAATATTTGCAGAGAGCAGTGGCAGCTTGCATTCTTTTCTCAAACGTAAAGGGTGGGTGACTTCTTTATCAGCTGGTGTTGGAGAAGAAGGAGTCTACCGATCTTCTATAGGTTATATATTTGTTGTATCAATATATCTCACCGACTTAGGCTTAGATAAGGTGCTTGTTTCAATAACCTTTCTTGTTCATTTATTTCGACAGGAAAGACACTTAATCCGCTAAGCTATTGAAAACTATAGGTCATCAATGTCTAATGAAATGATGATACTGATGTAGTTTATAGAGGGAGTGTTTCATCAGAGCTGGACTACGCTCCATCACCGTCCGTCGTTTCTAGTATTAAATGAGTCCATTTCAGTGTTCCCAAAAACGGCCGATTTAAATCGGAACCGGCCGGTTAGCTCGGAACCGCTGGGGTTCCGAGTCTGGTTAGGCCTGGTTTTGGGTTGCAAGTAGTCCATAGAACACCCATGCAAAATTTTAGGTCCAAAACCGGTCGGTTGGGCCTCGAACCGGCCATTTTTATTGCTAAAAGGCTGGTTTTCTGCTAACCGGACCAGTTAGCCGCTAAAAACGAGCATTTTTTTTTAAAATAGCGGCCATTAGCAGAATAACGGGCGTTATTTGCAAAAAGGGGGCCATTATATATTACAGGAAACTGTGATCCACCTTATCCAACTTTTTGGATTCGAATTTATGCCATTTTTGGAGTTTTTGGTGCTTTGTTGCTGTATAACACTATCAAATCTCTATAAAACAATGAATTTCGATTGAAAGAGCGAAAAAGGAAGAGATTTGTGGATTGAAATGGTGGATTTTCAAAGCTTTTGAAATGTCCGCCATTTTCTCAATAGAAGCTTCAATACTGAATGGATCTTAATGAAACTTGGGGGTTTTGAGTCATTATCAAAGCATTAATCATATGCCTATTTCAAATTGTTTAAAAAAATGAAGATTGGGGGTTGATTTGGGTCCGAAACGTTGCTACTTGAAGAACCCATGTTTGATCCAAAAAACATATTTCTGATTGATCTATTGCTCATTTTTTATCAAACTGTGCTGTGTATTTTGATCATCAAGGCTTCATTTGGCAATTACAGTAGGTATGTTTATTTATTATTAATTAAATTTTTATATGGATTTTTTTCTTGCGATTTTGTCATGAAAAATTCATAAATTGAAATTTCCGCTATTTCTTGAAGAACATTCTCAATATTGAATGGATCTTCATGAAATTTCGGGGTTTTGAATCCTAATTGAAGCATTTATCATATCCATATTTCAATTTGTTAAAAAAATAGAAAATTGGGGGTTGATTTTGACTTGAAAATTTCGGGTTTTTGAATGATTTTGGCTCGATTTTTAGGGTTTCTTCATAAAATTATGTTTTTTGATAAAAGTATTATTATTTTTTTATGAAAATATGTTTTTTGTGATGAATATGATAGAAAAAATCTATTCTTCCTTTGTTAATGTTATATATTTGTCCTAACACAAAAAAAGTGTATGATATAATGCATGATAATGTTTTTCGATCTTTTGCTCGATCATTTTAGTTATTTTTATTAAGTGTGTGATATACTTGTATTTGTAATAATGTAGGAAAATAGTGCATCTTTTTTCATACGAGTTGGATTTCTTTTTATTTTGGGTTAATTCTAATAGTTTTGGGACCCAAAATTTGGTTTAATTACTTGTTGCAGAGTAATGTTGAAGGGGGGTTTTGGTTTGTTGAAATTTTTGAGCTTTGTGACATTTTGAGCTTTGTGGAAAGGGCGTTCTGGTTAATTGCCCAAATTTTTTTTTGTAAGATAATTGTATGTAATAAAATAGTATACACTTAATCTATGTTTTTTTATTTTTTATTTTTTTGTGGTTTTGACCCATAAAAAAAAAAATCTACTGGACCGGTTAGGTTGGTTAACCGCCCGATTAGTCCTGTTCTGGTTCTAATCGCTTCCGAACCCATGCTTGGTTAACCGTTCCGGTTCGATTTCGCAACATTATCATGCAATATATCATACACCTTTGTTTTTTGTTAGAAAAAATATATAACATTAGGGAAAAAAGATTATATATATATATATTTTTTTGTCGTATTCATCACATAAAACATATTTTTATAAAAAAAGCATAATTTTATCAAAAAACATAATTTTATGAAGAAACCTTAAAATTGAGCCAAAATCATCAAGAGCCCCAAATTTTTTAGGTCAAAATCAACCCCCAATCTTCCATTTTTTGAACAATTTGAAATAGAGATATGATAAATGCTTCGATTAGGATTTTAAACCCCCAAATTTCATTAAGATCCATTTAGTGTTGAGAATGTTCTTCAAGAAATATTGGAAATTTCAGTTCATGAAATTTTCATGACAAAAACGCAAGAAAAAAATCTATATAAAAAATTAGTCAATAATAAATAAACATACATACTGTATTTGACAAATGAAGCCTTGATGATCAAAATACACAGCTCAGTTTGATAAAAAACGAGCAATAGATCGATCAAAAATCTTTTTTTTGGATCGAAAACAAGTTCTTCGAGTAGCAGCTTTTCGGGCCGAAATCAACCCCCAATCTTCATTTTTTTGAACAAATTGAAATAGGCATATGATGAATGCTTCTATAATGATTTAAAATCTCCAAGTTTTATTAAGATCCATTCGGTATTGAAGCTTCCATTGAGAAAATGACGGAAATTTCAAAAGCTTTGAAAATCTGCCATTTCAATACCCAAATCTCTTTCTTTTTTGCTTTTCAATCGAAATTCATTGTTTTATAGAGATTTGATAGTGTTATACAACAATAAAGCACCAAAAACTACGAAAAATAGTTGAAAATCGAATCCAAAAAGCTGGATAAAGTTGATCGCGGCTTCCTGTAATATATAATGGCCCCCTTTTGCAAATAACGCTCGTTATTCTGCCAATGGCCATTATTTTCAAAAAAACGCCCGTTCTAGAGGCTAACCGGTCTGGTTAGTAACTGGCCGATTAGCAATAAAAATGGCCGGTTCGTGGCCCAACCGGCTGGTTTTGGACCTACCAGGCCGGTTTTGCAAACACCGGTCCATCCTCGAACTTGCCTGAGTCTCTTGGAACTGGCACTCTGCTGGATGGTCCATGTCTTGGCCAAGTCCGACTGAGTACTCACCGAGTTGACTGAGTCGTGCATAAGTTTTGACCAAGTTTGACCAAGTCTTGATCAAGCCGACTCGGAACCTGGCACTGCCGGGTTCCTTACCCGGTTCCATGGTTTTAAACACTGATGGCTTCTTTGAATGTATTACCCAACAGACTATGATTTGTATTGTCCACTGTCCATAGTCCATAGGATTGTCGTATACTTCCTCCTTTTCTAAATGCTTGTCACTCTTGAAACATGAGAATGCTATGACGAAGGCTGCAATTGTTTAGAGCATATGAGTCTATTCTGATAATTTTTACTTCAAAGAATTTCATGGTTTCCCATTTGATGGTGAAAATTAGGCTCATGGCCTTGTTTCCAACTGATGTGTCAACCAAACTTTGATTTCCAGGTATCAGTATTGAACTAACTCTTAAGAATCCTATTAGAGTAAATATTATCCATGAAGACATTAAAGTGTCAAAAAAAGAGTGTCTGTATGAGACATAAAAAGTATCTCTATATGAGACTGACCCAGTTTGTTCTTATAAAATGATAATTTCATTGAAACACAGAATATCTACTAAACATGTCAAAACTGATAAATATGTCAATCACAAAAAAAACTGGTAAAATATGTTATGATGAATTCTAGATGCCAGAACAGATAGTCTAATTCCCAAGAACATACTAGGAATAATAATAATGAATATCCATATCTGCATTCTAGATGCTATTTTGTTGCTAAATAATAGTAAAATATGAAGCTTATTTTTTACACCTCATCTCATCACTGGGAACCTAAACCCTCTTGTTTGTTAGAATTGCTTATTTATTATTATTTTGTTGCTTATTAATAGTATAATGTAGTGTTTTTATCTTTATCAACAGTCAAAATATTCCTGAGAAATTATGTATGATTGATGCTCTATCTTCTCATTTTCTTCAAGGGTATCTCATTAATTGTATCCTTTGCCAGGCATTTGAGGTAGTTGGGACTGTTTATCAGTATCTTAGATTGTTATGCCAAGCAGGTCCACAGTCTTGGGTATTTAAGGAGCTCCAAGATATAGGGAATATGGAATTTAGATTTGCAGAGGAGCAACCTCAGGATGAGTATGCGGCAGAGCTGGCAGGTTTTGATATTTGCCTTTTTGACTTTTACTACTAGTTGATTTCTTCTATTTTACTAGTTGTGTTGTGACTGAGCATATGGTTAAGCCATATGGGCCATAAGTGGATCTTTCTTCTCTGTATGTGTTCTTTCTGGCTTACTCTTGTGATATGTATTACATAAATGGTACATAAAATATGCAATTTCCATCTCTATGTTCTATTCTTCTGGTTATGAAAATTTGACTTCATCTGAATTTTGCTGACTTTAATAATTTTGTTTTTCAGAGAACTTACTTTTATATCCAGAGGAACATATCATCTATGGGGATTATGCTTTTGAAGTATGGGATGAAAGATTGGTGGAACATGTTTTGAGCTTCTTATCACCAGACAATATGAGGATTGATATATTATCTAAGTCCTTTGATAAGAAACCGGAAGGTAACCTTGTTCCTATCTGATTCATCCATTCTGCTTTACATTTGCATGGCCTTAAATTCTTTGCATTTTGGTTTCTTCATGGATTCTGACCCCATGAAAGTTGGACTTAGTTTCAAACCTCTGAGAATACAGTTGATCTGATCCACCATTACTGTATTTGATTGCTTTCATTACATATGCTGTAGATCTTGTTTTAGAAACTTCTTGTCATTGCAAAATCATTGGGTAAGCCTTACCTTCAGGCATAAGTACTGTTCCTCTACTCAGTAAAATATCTGGATGTGCTTCAGAGGCAAAAAATGTCTTGTCAAAATGCATCTAATGTACAATGGGCATCATGATCATTTTCCATCCTAGGATGATTCCTGGTGCAAAAAGGACACTTGGAGGGGACTCGACTGTTATGGTGCTAAAAACATGAAGATGGCTGTCCAAGGGCTTGAAGAATATAGTTCTTCGAGTTCAAATTCTAAATACAAAATTTTTAATAGCTTATTATCAAGGTTTCGTTTGTTCTTCTGATGTGTGTTCCATTATTTTTATGTACTTTATTGATTGTACTCAAATTCTGTAGATTTAAATGAACATCTAGGCTTTGTTCATGCATTCCCTGTGACCTTGTTCTTATCATGTGTTTTATCTTTCTCTCCTTACAGTTGTCAAATATGAACCATGGTTTGGTTCTCGATATACCGAAGAATCCATCCAGCCATCTCTTTTAGAACTGTGGAGAAACCCCCTGGAAATTGACCCATCACTGCATTTGCCTCAAAAGAATGAGTTTGTTCCTTGTGACTTCTCCATTCGAAGTTCCCAGGAGTCAGAGGATCGAGGGGTTTCAGAGATTCCAAAATGTATTATTGATGAGCCAAATATGAAGCTATGGTACAAGCTGGACACAACGTTCAAAGTCCCACGTGCAAATACCTATTTTTTGATAACTGTAAAGGAAGCTTACACCTGCATAAAACAGTGTGTTCTAACTGAGTTGTTTGTGAGTCTTCTTAGAGATGAGCTGAATGAGATTTTGTATCAGGTACACTCAGGTTTCCCATCTTTTAATTCTTCTTGGTTCACTTTTAGTACCAATTAAGCAAGTGTATCTTGGTTTAGTTGCTTTGAATTTTCTACAAATTATGATTCTATTTTCTTCTTGTTACTGTAATTGCAAATCTTGTTGTCCTGGTTATCATTGAAGAATAGCTGACTAATTAGTTCGATATAAAGTTAGGAGTGGAATAGGCTGCCTATTCTTTTTCATTGAGATAGCCAAATCATTCTATTTGGAGGTTGCCATTATATTCCGGTTTTAACTTGTTTCAAATTTGTATTAAGCAATATCTGTTATATATGGAAATGGGGTTCAGAAACTTAGCTCGTCATTGTTTATTGCCAGCTCGTCATTGTTTATTGCCAGCAGCACTACTACTAGTTGTGGATGCAGCTAGGCTTTTACATTTGATGTTTTTGATTCCTATTTGGTATAGGATCTTTTCAAATAATCTCTAGCACTTGATCATTTTTCTTATCCATACTTTTCGGAGGAAATTTCTCTCTTTTTTTTCTTTGTCCCACTTGAATGGTGTACATTCAATGCTACTTTGTTCAGGCTGATGTGGCCAAGCTGGAGACCTCGTTATCAATATCAGGGGACCGGATTGAGGTAAAACTTTACGGGTTCAATGATAAGCTTCCAACTCTTCTATCCAAAATCTTGAGTATATCAAGATCATTTCTGCCATCTGAAGATCATTTTAAGGTACTAATTGTCCACTTATCCATCACTTCTGTCTTTGATTTGCATCATTCATGAGCAACAAAGAAATCTCTCTTGAAATCAAATTTTGGGTTCCATCTCCAGACTCTGCAATTTATGACACCTTCATGCATTTTAGAATGGCTTGTGTATCTTCTGATTTCCCTTTTTTTTGCAGAATAAACTAGGCTTTAATTGCAGAGTCTTATCTTTGCCAATTATGCCCTTACTCAGAAATTAAACTTTTTATTCATAGTCGCTGGCATCTCCAATGTTGCAGGTTATTAAAGAGAATATGGAGAGAACATTTAGAAACTCCAATATGAAGCCTTTAAATCATTCCTCGTACTTGAGACTGCAAGTCCTTCGTAACAAATTCTGGGATGTTGATGACAAGCTTTCTTGCCTTGCTGATACATCTCTTAGTGATCTTAAAAACGTTATTCCCAGGCTTCTTTCCCAGGTATATGAAGAGTTCTCATTGGAAAATTATACTATAAGCTAATGGACTGCTAAAGACTATAGACAACTGGATTTATTACTGTTCAATGAAATGATGGACATTGATAGAGGGTACAACTCACGATTTGGGGTCATGTCCTGTTCTGGTGGATCCCATTCTTTCATCACTGTTTGCAGCATTTCATTAACGATGACCCCAGTGGACTATAGCATGCTTTTCTGCTTTTACCATTGTGTGCCTATGTTGAATTTGGATCATATTTAAGTACTTAATTCTTTATCCTTTTCATACGCTCTTTAATTTATTCTTGTTAAATGTTTTACTTACCTGAAAATTGAAATGTGCTTTTATCTTCTATACAGTTATATATTGAAGGTATATGCCATGGCAACATTTTAGAAGAAGAGGCACTTAATATTGCCAATATATTCAGAGATATCTTTCCAGTACCACCATTACCAAAAGAATTGAGACATGAAGAAAGAGTTTTGCATCTACCATCAGGCACCTGCCTTATTCGAAATGCTAATGTCAAGAATAACTCAGAAGTTAACTCTGTAGTCGAGGTTTGTCAATGATTTTGATTTGGTTGAACAGAATTGATCAATTTTATTCGATAATTTTCTCCTTTGAATGTATATGTACTTTTATGTTTCTCCTTGCTCTTGTAGCTTTATTTTCAAATTGAGCCTGATAAGGGTGTGGAGTCGACTAGATCAAGAGTCATGGCTGATCTTTTTGAAGAAATTATAGGGGAACCATGCTTTAATCAATTAAGGTAGGGTCCCAGTTGTTTATTCCACCAGGGATGGAATGGGTTTATGAATATTCTTTTATGCTTTGAGATTGTAATCAAGGTTTAAGTAGTTGGCTCGGGCCTGGGACTTATCCCTTGCTGAGCTGAATAACTTGGGCAAGTCCAAGTGGACTCGCCTGAGGATGTACAGGCATGAATATTCCTTAAAAAAAAATGCAAAAAGAAAACCCAAAAATTCAAAAGAAATTGGAAACAATGGGGAAATAGATTATTTTGGGAGGTTTTTTTTGGGGAGAGAGAGAGAGAGAGAGATGAAATAAGTGGGGTGGTGCCCCCCTTTTCTCCATTAGCAGCACTCATGAGTGAGATAGAGATGAAATAAGTGGGTTGGTGCCCCTCTTTTCTCCTTTAACAGCACTCATGAGTGTACCATACAGACTCGCTGGAGTACCATAGAATTTGGTGAGTTTGCCTGAGATCTCTAGTACTTGGGTGAGTCCAGTCCATACAATACTCATTCGAGTACTGTATTGGTCCTGATGTGGGTACATAGGAACTCACTTCGACTAGTAGCCGAGGCTGAGTAACCTGGCTAAGTCCAAGTGGACTTGGCCAAGTTTTTGAAAGCTGGTTGTAATGGTGGATTATCTAAAGGATATATACCATTATTGTAATTTTTAGTAGCATAGTTCTGTATCCTAACTTAGGGCATGTAATGTGCTTTTTCTAGTAGAAAAGATTGAAAGTATATCAGATTCCCATGGAGTATAGTATATGACACTTCAATGGTATCCACTGTCCGATCCTGATGAGATTAACTGTAGTTGGGCCAACTGGGATATTGGTTCTCGTACATTAGATTGAATCTCCACCGTATGCCATTGAGAATAGATGATGGATGTTCATTTTGTATTCTGTATGCAATACTCCAATGGGTTACGTTATAGTTTCATACTCTGTCTAAATAAACAGACTCGGGGTCCAACCTGCCAGGTTCCTGGACCCGAGTCCATCACAGAACTGGTCGTGTCAGAGTCCGCTTCTTATGTCTGATGCAGCCGATTTTCGTTGAGAATATCATGGGATGCCCTGGGATAGGGAGACTCGCCCAATTTTTGGCTGTCTCTCTCTGTAATCGCTGGGATACCAAATATTTGACTCAGGTGATTCCAGTGTCTGACCAGTGAGTTTTCAATCAGTCTTTAAGAGTAAGTGTGTTCGCAAAAGACTGAGGCATGTTTTTTGATATAATTGACATTATTTTCACATTAATGTAGGACCAAAGAGCAGCTTGGATATGTTGTTGAGTGCGACCCACGAATGACATTTCGGGTGATTGGGTTTTGCTTCCGTGTCCAGTCATCACGTTATGGTCCGCTCTATTTACAGGAACGAGTTGACAACTTCATTGACAAATTGCAAGAAGTACTGGTATGTTTTAATATATAATAATTGGGAAAAGACAGGAGCAAAGTTTAATGTGGTTTACTCTTGTGGTTGGGTTTGAGCTTCAGAGCTTTTGTACAAGAGTGTGGATTATTTAGTCTTGGACCTTAGGCTTTGGGCATTTGGGTTTCCATTTCAAGCTTAACCAACAAAGAACAAGAAAATAAGGAAAATAAAGGAGAAAGGTAATAATCGTCTTTCCTCTTCTTTCTTTATTTTGATTATTCTTAACTTTTCATGGGAAAGGTAAAACCCATCGTAACATGGTCTCCCACCCCTCCCCTCCTAGTCTGCTCCTGTGAGACGGATGGTGTTTTTCGTTCTCAAACAATAGGTTCTAAATCCAGAATAATAAGGGGGAAAGCATACGGTAATCCAAAATCCAATGTACTGTGATGAACCAATGGACCAAGGTTTCAACTTTTGCATTAAAGAGAACTTGTGGGATCTTTTGTTGTCTCTTTCTCAAGCTAGGAGCCTCCATCTCACTGCATGAGCATTGCAACCACTGTCAGGACAATTATTGTTAAGTTACTAATGCAATTTGAGTTTTCTAAGTGGCCTGGCTGACCACATAAAATACATTAAAGAAAACACTATTTGAGTTTTCTAAGGCAACTCCAACCTCTTGTTGATGCTTCTTATACTTAACTCAAATCTCTCTTATGACTAACTCTCCCTAGTGTACATAATTGTGTCCTTAAGAGTAGCAGAAGTTCCCTTGCAATATATTGTTTCTGAATGTTACCATGAGGCCCATGCTATACCTTCTCATCATCATCATCATCATCATAGCTTTTTCCGAATTAATTGGGGTCGGCTGCACGAATTCTGCCCGCCATTCTGCTCTATTTAAGGCCATACCCTCAGTGAGGCCATAAGTCCCACATGCTATTCCTTCTGAAAACCGAAAGAGAATGTTAATTTGCTATATTGTGTGTTTTGGCTGCAAGGTCTTATGACATGGATGGAACTAATATTGATTGTCACAGGATGGACTTGATCAAAGATCATTTGAAAATTACAGAAGTGGTTTGATTGCAAAAAAGCTGGAGAAGGACCCATCCCTTTCATATGAGACCGACCACTATTGGGGACAAATATTTGATAGGAGGTATTTGGCTCTAATGGTTTTCAGTTTAGATGATTTCAGTGCATATGCTTTCTTGTTGTTATCCTCTTTCCTTTTTCATTGAGATAACTGCAAGAAATTATTGAATTCATCTTGCAAAATTAGCCTTTTGAAGATTTATTAATATCTTTTACCGCGAATTCTGAAGTTTGCCATTCTTCAATGTTATTCAACAACATATGACAGGTTTTGTGTGCAAATAAATGTCATTTTTGCAAGGTCTATTCTTGGTCCTTTGTTGCAGTTTTTTTTGAGATAATAGGTCCTATGCTACAGTTTGATTTGCAACTTCACTTGCTGTGGCATTTTATGGACAGCTATTTGTATAGCTCGGTGCAATGCAGTCTAGGCATGCTACCTTTACTAATTTTTGAACAACAATTGTTGCATAAGGGTTTTTCTTTTTTGGTTAGTTTGTGGCATAAGGATTTACTCTACATGGGGTAGACACTGTAAAGGTCATATTGCGAACTGGGCTGTCCAAGTCCAGTTCTGGCGATGACCACCATCCAGCCCAAAAACAAAGCCATTGCATGGCTTTGACGGTGATTCTCTCTCTTCCAACAACCGATTGTTCAGGACTATTTATTTACTTGTTTAATCATTTTCTCGTCGTCTACTGGGATCAAATGAGGCTGTATGCAAAGTTTGAGAAAGAAACTGTTTAGGTGGATTTTTAGCTGGAGGTGACCCGTAGGGTCACACCTACAGTGACCAAATCCTTATTCAGGATCGTGGCCGCATGAGTGATAGGCATTTCTCGCAACTAGGGGCTGTTTCATCATAAAACACGGTGAGATTAGTAGGGGATGCAGTTGAGTAAGCTTAGATGCGGAAGAAATTCTATAAGAGGTACAGCTCAAAAGTCAAATACAGAGAGAGAGATAGAGAGAGAGCCGGTTATGATGATCAATGATATATACCATTGAAGAACATGGAAACCTTATATTGATTATGATGTAACTTTTTCTCGAGTTTTTTATGCTTCTTGTGCATTCAATTTCAGGTACTTGTTTAACATGTCGAAAATGGAAGCCGAGGAGCTGAAACGAATAGAGAAAGAGGATGTTATTGAGTGGTACAATGCTTACTTTAAGGGCGAGTCTGAGAAGTGTTGTCGGCTTGCTATTCATGTATGGGGGTGCACCACCAACATGGAAGAAGGTAAACAAGAACAAGCCAAGTATGGCTGGGTCATTGAAGATCTTGAGGCATTCAAGTTATCAAGCAAATTCTATCCAAGCTTATGTTGATTGAAAGCAATTTTGGGAATGTTATTGATTTTGTTGGGAGACGTTAATTCGTTTCTCCTCATGAGAGATGTGTGTGTGTGTGTGTGTGTGTGTGTGTGTGAGAGAGAGAGAGAGAGAGAGAGAGAGAGAGAGAGAGAGAGAGAGAGAGAGAGAGAGTATATATATATATATATTAGTTAGTTAGTTAGTTAGTTACGTTACGTTAGTTACGTTACGTTACGTACGTACGTACGTTACGTAGTTACGGTTA